TATCTGTTTTCATGAGAAACCACTTTGAAGATATCAATATGTAACACAACAAGCATTGTTAATTCCCTACCACTTTGTTTGTAACTTCGTAGTGTCTGTACTGTTCCTTTGCTATTTTGTAAAATGTTGTCTGTCTGTTAATATTTTCCTCCTTTTACTTTTAAAATAAAAAAAAAAGAAAATTTGTGTCATAGACTTGGCCCTTTTTGTTTGGAAACTAGATATTTCTCCCATGTACCTATAAGTGGCTTTCTTGAGGAGAAAAGTTTAATTTTGAAAAAGGATCTTACAACAATACAATTAATGTTGTATGTGACAAACCACAGCCAACATCATACCAAATAGGGAAACACTGAAAACATTTCCTCTAAAATTAGGTACAAGACAAGGGTATCCACCCACTTTCACCACTTCTGTTAAAGATAGTACTTGAAATTTTAACCAGAGCAATTAGGCAAAAGAAAGAAATAAAAGGAGTACAAATAGGAAACAAAGAAATTAAATTATTTATATTTACAGACTATGATCCTTAGAAGATCCTCAAAACTAGGCTAAGGTAGGAGGATCACAAATTTATAGTAAGCCTGGGAAGCTTAGTGAGATCCTCTTTTTAAGTTTTATAAATTTGTAAACAGATAAGGATGTAGTTCTTTGGTAGAGCACACTACCAAACACACACACACACACACACACACACACACAGAAAAAAATCAGAAGATCTTTAGATCAGGTAGACAAATTCAGAAAAGTAGCAGGAAAGTAAAATGAACAGGCATTTCACAGAGAAAGCAGTACAAATGGCCAAGAAATATATCAAAAAATCTTCAACATCTCTGGCCAATAAAGAAATGCAAGTTACAATGATGCTAAGATTCTATCTTGCTCCAGAAAGAATGGCAATCATGAAGAAATCAAAAATAACAAATGCTGACCAGGCTGTGGTGAAAAAGGAAACCTCCTACACTGTTGGTGGGAATGTAAGCTAGTACAACCATCGCAGAATTCAATATGGAGATTTCTCAAAGACTAAAATTAGAAATTCCATATGACTCAACTATCCTCCTTCTGGGTAGCTCCCCTCAAGAGCTTATGACATCAAACCACAGTGATACATGCATACTAATGTTTATGGAAGCACAACTTGTAATAGATAAATCCTGGAAATAACCTGTATACCCACCAATAGATGGCTGGATAAAGAAAATTTATCTATATATAATGGAATACTACTTGGGTGAAAAGAATGACAAATTTGAGACATTTGTAGGGAAATGGATACATCTGGAAAGTATAACGTTGAGTGAAATAAACCAGACACAGAAGCTTAAATACTATATGGTATCTCTTACTTGAGTAAAGTGAAGTACAAAAAAAGAGAATAATAAAGGTGGGTAGAAGGACACAAAGGGATGGCTCTCTTGCAAGTGGGAAGAGGACCCAGAGACCAAGGATGAGGAGGTAAGGGGAGGGGACAGTAGAATAGAGACCTGCCTTGTACAGAAGCCTAATAACCTCCGTGAGTGTAAACACTATATGCCATACACATGAGCTACGATTATTGATATCAACAAGAAGGAGGCTGGGCATGGTGATGTATGCCTATAATCCCAGCACTGGGAAGGCTGAGGCAGGAGGACCTTTGTGAGTTCAAGACCAGCCTGGGCTACAAAGTAAGCTGAAGGCCAGCCTAAACTGCAGTGCAAGGCCTTGTCTCAAAAAGACACAAAAAAATTTAAAAAACAAGAATGAAAACAGAGAAAGGGGACTTAGAGGAGGGAGGGAGGAAGGAGGGGAGGAGGAAGGGATTAAAAAAAGAAACAAGCTGTGTTATGTTCGTGTGCCCACTCCCCAACTGTATGTACTGCGAACATATACTAATAAATAAATACATAAATAAAACGCAGCTTCACAAAGTAAAACAAAACAGTGGCAGGTACAGAATCAACACAAAAAGCCAATAGCTTTTCTTTACAGCAATAATGAACCAACAGAAAGAAGTCAGAAAGACACATTCACAACTGCCTCAAAAAGAAAAAAAAAACACTTAGCAATAAGCAAAGTGAAAGAACGCTACCTTGAAAATTACAAAATGCTGAAGAGATAAATTGAAGATGATGCTAGAAAATATAAAGGCCTCCCCTGCTCGTGAATCAGTATAATTAATGCTGTTAATATAGCCACATTATCAAAATCTACAGATTCAGTACAATCCTCATCAAAATGCCAATGAAAATTTTCACAAAACTAAAGAAAACAATCCTAAAATTCATGTGGAAACACAAAGACCCAGAAAAGCCAAAATAATACTAGCAAAAAAGAACCAAGCTAGAGGTATCACAATGCCCAACTTCAAAATATAGTACAGAGCCATAGTAATAAAACAGTATGGTACTGGCACAAAATTAGGCACATAAACCAGAGGCACAGAAACACTCCATACAACTATGACCTTCACACTGAGCTACATCCTGAGCTATTTTTTATTTTTATTTTTTATACAGAGACAGGGTTTCTCTAAGTCACTAAGTTGCCCAGGCTAGGCTTCAACTTGCAATCCTCCTGCCTCACGCTCCCAGGGGGTTGGGATTACAGTCATGCACCCCAACACCAGTCCCATCTGATTGTTCACAAAGGGACCAAAAACATACATTGAAGTAAAGATTACCTCTTCAACAGCGGTACTGTAAAACTGGAGATCCACATGTTGAAAACTGAAACTAGATCCCCATCTCTCTCTTGCAAAAATTAATTCAAAGTGCATCAAAACGTGAAACTGTGAAACTTCTGGAAGAAAGCATGAGGAAAGCAGTTGAAGTCATAGGCACAGGAAAAGGCTTCCTGAACAGAACCTTAGTGGCAAAGGAAATAATGGTACGAATCAACAAATGGGGTTATATCCAATTTAAAAGCCTCTGTATGGCAAAGGAAGCAACCAACAGAGCGAAGAGACAGCCTACAGAATAGGAGAAAGTCTTTCCTTGCTCCTCCAAGACAGAGTAAATAACTCTAGGAAATTATCACCAAATAAAATAATATAAAATAAAACAACCCAATGAGTAAATGGGCAAACAAATTAAACAGACCCTTCTCAAAAATGTACAAATGGCCAATAAGTACATGAAAAAAAAGTTCACCAGAGAAATGCAAATCAAAACCACCGCAGAGCTCCATCTCACTACAGTCAGAAAGACGGGCATCAACAATACAAAAAATAATAAATGCTGACAAGGATGTAGGGGGAAAGATCTCTTTTACACTTTCTGGAAACATAAACTAGCACAGCCACGTTGGAAATAACAACAGAAGTTCCTCAAAAAAAAACAAAAAATAATAGAGCTACCGTTTGATCAAGCTGTCCCTGTCTTCACCATAGTTCTGAAAGAATTAAAGTCAACATACTAGAGCGAGACCCGTGTTTACTGCAGCAGAATTCAGAGAAGCTCAGCTGCACACTCTCTTCGTGCCTGTTAACAGGTCAGTGGATAGAGGAAGTGGGGCCGATATACACAGTGGGATATTAGCCGTAAAGAAGAATAAAATCATGATACTTTCAGGACGATGGATTGACCTGGACAGCATTGTGTTAAGTGGTAGAAGCCGGACTCTGAAAGTCAGTTTTCTCGTGTTTTCTCTCCTAGGAGGAATCTAGAAAAAAAATTACTTTTAAAAAGAGATGACATGAAAATAGCAGAGTAACTACCAGAGAAAAGGCTGGGAATAAACAGGGGAGGGAGGCAGAGGGGATAATGGGGAAATGATCAAAGCCGGCTATTCTCATGTACGTGTACACCAGGGTTAACCCCCTGTTCTGTGTAACTCAGGCACCAAAACAAGCGAGCAGCCGCGGGGCCACTCGGGGCCACGTCTTCATGACCCTTGGAGTCCCGGTCCTGTCTGTCCCCCTATTCATTCCTGAGAACTCACCTCCCAGCTTGCGGGGCACTTGGGTTCCCACAGTCCCTGCGTCCCACCCCCTTCTGACCAGGACTCCTCCACCTCCTCATTCCTTAGCCAATTTGTGCTGAAGTTTGCAATGTTCTGAATTTTCACATGAAACTAGAAAAATTCAGAGAATAAGAATTTGAAGAGAAAAAAAAAATTTATTATGTTTGATTTTTAAATTATGTGGTGTTCCAGTAACAGGACATTAGGCATGGTGGAGCTCCTCAAGGACAGTCTGTCATGCCTCCCCGCTGGCTCCACTTCCCACCAAGGAGTGGACGCTATGTGGGTGCTGCCTGAGCCCATTCACGCAATCACCACCACCTCAGTCTCCAAGGGACCCTCCGCCATGTTTTATGCCTCACGTTCCCCTGTCAGGGCTGACCCTCCGGAGCATCTAGAGCTCAGAACACCCGGGCAGAAGGAGCCGGGGATCTGTCCTCCTTGTTGTGTGGCCCCCAGTGGCACCCCATCTAGAAAGAAGAAGAGGTTGCTCCCCAGGAAGTGTGTGAGTGGGAAGTTCCCCTATGTGGTCACTGGGCCCTCTGGCCCCATTCCTAGGCTTCCGGTGGACCTTCCCCTCTGTCCTGTGACAGCAAGGCCCCAAGATTCTCATCCCCAAAGATGTGCTCCCCCTCCACACGCCCTTCTATCTCTGCTCCACCCAGGAACTCTCCGGCTCCAATATGCTGCGGCTGCTGCTTCTGCCCCTGCTGTGGGAAGGTGAGTGGGCCTGGGGAGAGGGGTTGTGGGGGCTGCACAGAGCTGACCCCTGTTTTCCCACAGGGTCCTTGGCCAATATTCCGGGATTCCAGCTGACAGTGCCAGCATCAGTGGCGGTGCAGGAGGGACAGTGCATCTTCATCCCCTGCCGTGTCTCCTACCCTGAGAGAGGCTGGAGCAACTCTACGGCAGCTTGGGGCTACTGGTTCAAGAAAGGGGCTAAGAGTTCTCAGGATCTTCCAGTGGCCACAAATAACCCACATTATGGGGTGTGGGAAGAAACAAAGGAACGATTCCATCTCCTCGGAGACCCCGGGACCTACAACTGCTCCCTGCACATCAAAAACGCACAGAAAAGGGACACAGGAGTCTACTTCTTCAGGGTGGAGAGAGGGAGTTACGTGCGATATAATTACATACACAACCAGCTCTGTGTGTTTGTGATGGGTAAGGAATGAGGTTCAGAAGGCCACAGAGATGGGGCCTGAGGGCCCCAGGGCAGGGTGGGGATGGGATCCCCCGCTCCTCCTCCTGGGGGGCCACGGGGACAGAACACCGGGCCTGCTTGGGGGAGGTGGCTCGCCTGAGGCAGAAGCCGCTCTGAGGGCCACCCTCGGGGTCCCCTCCAGGGCTTGAGGGTCTGTCTGTCTCCTCCCCAGCTCCAACAGAGACCCCTGACATCCACATCGCGGGGACCCTGGAGTCCGGTCACCCTGGGAACGTAACCTGTGCGGCGCCATGGCCTTGTGAGCAGGGGACGCCCCCCACTTTCTCCTGGATCGGGGCGAACCTCACTTCCGCACTGGGCCCCGAGGCTGCTCGCTCTTCAGTGCTCACTGTCACCCCACGGCCACAGGACCATGGCACCAACCTCACCTGCCAAGTGACTTTCCCTGGGGCCGGTGTGACAGTGCAGAGGACCGTCCAGCTCAACGTGTCCTGTGAGTGCTGGGCCAGGACATACAGGGCCCAGGGAGGAGAGGGACAGGGGAGGCGGGGCCTGTAATACTGAGTGCTGGGCCTGGGGAGGGAAAAAAGAGGACCCCGGCTCCACCATCCTCCTATTCCTAAAGTGTCTGTGGGAAAATCACCAACACCCACCTTCCTGCCACTAAGAAGGGTAATCTTGTCTATTTACCCAGATGCTGCACAGAGCCTGATCATCCAGGCGTTCCAGGGAAATGACACAGGTAGGGCACAGCCTGTCCTTCCCGCGGGGTGGGGGTGGGGGATGGGGCTGAGGCAGAAGGAGGGTGCAGAGTAGTAAAGGTGGGACCCCTGCACCCACTTGTCACCCTGCACACACCCCTCTCACACTCAGGTATCCTGTGGCCTTTTCCTTTGCTCAAGCAGCAGATGTGGCTGTCACCAGCCCTCGTTTTCCTTGGGACCTAAGCCCTGCCTGTTCCTTTGATTGTTTTAGTGATTTTTTTTAAATAGCATAGAATTGGTCTCAGTCTACTTCAGCTGCTGTAACAAAATACCATAGCCTGGTGACTTAAGCAACAGATATTTCTTTCTCAAGTTCTGAGGCTGGAAGTCCAAGTTCAAGGTGCTGGTCCTTTGGCATCGTGGGGAGAGTTGCCTTCGGCTTCTTGGTTTGCAGATGACCATCTTGTCCCCTTCGAGTCCCTACATGGTAGAGACCAGCAGAGTTCTGTGATGTCTCTTGTCACGAAGGCTCTAATCCCATCTTGCTGGCTTCACCCTCCTGCCCTTGCCTATCCCTAACCTGCCTAAAGGTCCCATGTCCAAATACTGCCAGGTAGGGAGCTTGGGATGTAACATATGGATTTAAGGGAAATACACTGGTTTGTGGCAAAAGTTAGTAAGAACAAGACTGTATTTGGGCCCAGTGTTTTTCCCTTCCTGGCTGTCCTCCTACCAATGACTGATGTATACGTACGGACAGACACACACACGCTCACACGCCATTCCATACATTCTGCCTCACATCTGTATTATTTTCACGTATTTACTTATTTTGTGGTGCCAGTGATGAAAGGAAGATTCTCCTCTACCCCTGGGCTACATCTCCAGACCTTTTATTATTTTAAATAAATTTTTCATTTTGCAGTAATTTTAGATGGACAGAAAAGTTGCAAAGATGACACAGAAAGTTTCCAGAAATCCCTTGTTCAGCTGCCCTCATCCTCAAAAGCTTACATTACCGGGGTACATTTGCCGCAGCTGAGAAAGCGCCAGTAGAATGTGGTTAGGAACGAAACTTGTTTCTCAAACTTAGTTTATCTGGAGATCGCCCTGTATTTGTATATGGAAACCTCCATACAAATTAATGGCTTGATGGTTTTCCAGTTATAAATATAGTATGCTATAAAGTGTAAACTGATTTTCCACTGGCAGAAAAATAGGCATTTCTTGTCTTGTTTGACACATTTACTACTGAAATAAATCACTTATATGAACGTTCTCCATAATTTTCTATAGGAGAGGATTCAGGATCAAAGGATATTGTAGTTTGTGTGGATATCGTCATTTTTATGGAGACTGCCGAATTGCACTGCTTCGAGTTTGTCTTACTTGTACTCCCCTGAACAGTGCATCTTTGCCTCTGATATTATAAATTAATTCACCGTGATTTTAATATGCATTATCATTTTGTGAGTCGTCTTTCATTATGTTTAACAACCAGTTGTATTTCTTTGTGTGCATTTTCCAAATGAAGATCTTTTCCTAGTAAGCAAACCAGCCCTTTCTGACATGAAAGGATTTATTTCCAACCTACTGTTAGCCTTGGTTTAGCATGGGATGATTTAGTTAGGCAAAAACACATGTTGCATTCAGTGGTGCCCTGGCACCGCCTTTCCCTGCTGGGCGAGAGTCTATAGCATGCATCTTCCCCAGCCCAGCTCCTCCAGGGAGCCCTTCTGTCCTGACAGTCTCACTGGCTTCTCAGGGCAACCTCCACCCCGCTTACCTCCACCATGAAACATGTGACAGCTGTCGTGGGCGCCTGCTGTTCGGCGTCTTGCTCACAATACTGCGAACTCCTCAGACACAACTAACTTAGGCAGGCTCACTGAACTGTAGCTGACAGACTAAGGGGCAAACTGTAAAGGCCAACCTGGCATGTGAGCTGGCACGGATGGCCAGGCAGTTTGGCTGACACACGCAGGTCCTTGGAGAGACTGTGCGACTGCTCCTCACCCTGTCTGCTTGGCCCCGAATCCACACAGCACGAGCCTGTGAAGCAGTGGAAAAGACAGTCGCACGTGACACAGGGACGAAGAAGACAGAGATCCCCATGCAAGCCGGGCCTCAGCCTTCCCTCTGTGTCTCCAGGACCTACAGCCCTGGCTAATGGCTCATCATTCCGCATTCAAGAGGGCCAGGCCCTGCGCTTGGTGTGTGCTGCCGACAGCAACCCGCCCTCCATGCTGAGCTGGACCCGGGGGAGCCTGACCTTGCAGCCCTCACAGCACACAGACCGTAGGGCTCTGGAGCTGCCTCTGGTGGAACTGGAGGACGAGGGAAAATATGTGTGCAGAGCTGAGCACCGGTTGGGCTCTCGGACAGCGTCTGTGAGCCTCTTTGTGAGGAGTGAGTTGGAAGGCACCTGGGGGCGGGGCACCTGGGTCCCTGCCAGAGAGGAGCCCCTCTGATTCCTCTCTTCTTCCCAACAGGCCCACCACAGCTGCTGGGACCCACATGCTCCTGGGAGGCTGCGGCTCTGCACTGCAGCTGCTCCTCCCATTCCTGGCCGGCCCCGTCCCTGCGCTGGCGGCTCGGCCAGGGGCTGCTGGAGGGGAACAGCAGCAACGCCTCCTTCACGGTCACCTCCAGCTCGGCCGGGCCCTGGGCCAACAGCTCCCTGAGCCTCCGCGGGGGGCTGCGTTCCGGCCTCAGGCTCCGCTGCGAGGCCTGGAATCCCCATGGGACCCAGACTGTCACTGTTCTGCTGCTGCCAGGTCAGGAAGTTATGGAGGGCAGGGCCTGGGGAAAGGGGAGACTGTGGTCTGGATCCAGGAAGAATCTGGGTATAAGAGAAATAGGCCTGACTCGTGGCACAATGGCTAGAATTCAGGTTCATCTGTCCTTTAATTGGAGCTGAGGCCGGCGGCACTGGAGACCGCAGTCCCACAAAGATGGGGGAAAAAGGACCCCATCCTGAAAGAAGTGGGCATTCTTGTGGGTGATGGATTGGAGGAGGCAGGATGCTCGTTGGCTGCCTAGAGAGGCTGGAGGTCACCCCCGGTCTCTCATCTGCAGAGAAACCAGGACCCAGGGCAGGAGTGGTTCAGGGAGCCATCGGGGGAGCTGGTGTCACGGTCCTGCTCGCTGTGTGTCTCTGCTTCGTCTTCTTCATGTGAGTGCCGGCCCTGGTTTGGTTGGTGGTGGTGGTGGTGGTGTGTGGTGGTGCACAGCTCATACACCCTGCAAAACTCAAGTCCCAGAGCCGCGGTGCCCTGATGACGTGATAAGGTCAGTGGCAGACACAGTGGGAGCTTAGCCTCCTGCCACCGCGGCCAGGGACAGGGCCCATTCCCGGCACCTGGCTCCAGATGCCCAATAGGAGGAAGCACCTATTCTTCTCATGGTCCCTGAACCCAGACAGTAGCCCTCACGTACTCCTGCCCCAGACCCGCTGGGCTCCCGACGGCGAGTCAGCCAGGCTGAAAGGCCCTGGTCTTCTTCTCCAGGGTGAAGATGTTTAGGAAGAAGCTAGCAGTGAAAGGAAAGAGTGAGGATGGCACCCATCTTGTGACGAACACCGTGTCCCCGGTGAGTGTGAAGAGCTGTTTCCACCAGGGGTCCCAGCCGGGCACCACACCCGGGGTGACCCCAGGCAGCTCACACAGCACGCCAAAAACTGAGCTCCAATTTCCCCCAGAATGCCTTCCTCCCCGAGATTTCTTGCTGCAGCCATAGGCTGGGCACCTGAGCTGCCCATCCTCCATCTCCCGCTTCATCCTCCAGAGCCAGTGACTCACCAAGGCCTGTCCATTTTTCTTTTTGGCAAAGTTTTCCTTGATGTAACCCTTTTCTGCCGAGCCCTGTGCCACTGTCTGGGTCTCGCCTGCACAGCTCTGTCTCTCCTCCTCGGAATCAGCCTGCAGAAAGGACTCCCCAGAGCACCCCTCTGCTTCCTCTGCACCATGCTGATCAGCACTGCAGGACAGAAACGGAAATAGTACAGCAGGGACCGGAGACACGGTCCAGTGGCTGGATACTTGCTCAGCTACATGAGGCTCTGGATTCAATCCTCAGCACCACACACACACACACACACACACAGACACACACACACACACACACACACAGTCAGCCATGAAGCCATGTCCCATGGATAGGGCATACATTTTTCTAGTAGCCACATTTAAAAAGCAGAAAGAACCCTGTGAGGTCAATTTCAATAGAATGTTTGATTGCACCCAATGTATCCAAGTGTTAGGACTAGATAATCAATATACAAATTATGAATATGCTACTATACATCCTTTTGTAAAAGTTTTGGGTACTAAGTCTTCAGTGTGCAGTACTTATTTGGACTCACAGCACAGCTCTACTCTGACCCACCACATTCCACGCACTCAGCAACCACGTGGGCCTAACAGCTACCGTACGGAACAGCACAAGCTGAGAGGACGGAGTCCATAGTGCTTGGCTCGGTGTTCATGGGCGTGTCGCCTGTGGAGCTCTCCAGCCTGATTCCTGCATCTCCCCCTCCAATGCTCTGCTCCTAACCAAGTGAGCCTTTCGCCCTCAGCCAGCATTAGCTTCTTCCTGAGTCTGTACCTTCTCACACTGCTCACCCTGGAGTGACCCGCAGATCATCTTTCAGACTGTGCTCTGTCCTCTGGCCAGGCAAAGACTGCTGACTGTCGTCAAGCTTCCTCGAATGGTGACCGGCCTCGGCCGCACGCCCACAGTGAGGCCAGGTCTATTCCAGGCCTCTGCAGTGCTCACTCATCAAGCAACCTGCTTCTACCCCTCAAATCACAATGTGCGTTGCATAGGTGTTTGTCTTCCTCTCTCTCTCTTCCTTCCTTCCTTCCTTCCTCCTTCCCTCTCTCTCTCTCTCTCATCAGGAAGTTGTAAGGATTCATCACAGTCAGTAACCATTATGGGCCATTATGATTAAAATTTGTTAAGACAGGGGTATAGATCAGTGATAGGGCATTTGCAAGGCCCTGGATTTAATTCTAGTACTGCAAACAAAAAGAATTTTAAAATGTTAAAGGTATCTGAGTATACTGGTATACAACTAAAATCCCAGGACTGTGAGAGGCTGAGGCAGGAGGATGGATTCCAGCCTGGGCAACTTAATGAGAATCTGCCTCAAAATAGAAACAAAAGGGTTGAGGATCTAGCTCAGTGCAAAGGCACTGGGTTCAATCCTTGGTACTACCAGCAAACAAACAAAACAACAACAATAAAATAATGGTAAAGGTACAAATGCAAATAAATAAATGAGTGAAAGTGTGAATGAGTGAATACTGGGGTGTGAGTTGGATGAATGAATAAAGTCCTCATCTAGTCCAACTTCCCTGGGATCCTTGCTCTCATTCCCTTCTTCTGTCCCATGTCAGGCTCATCAGGATCACCTGAACAAGGCCAAGGCAGACAGCACCCTAGACAGCACCCCAACCAACCCGGCCACTGCTTCAGGGGAGGAGATGGAGCTCCATTACGCCTCCCTCAGCTTCCATGGTCTGAAGCCCCGGGAGCCCCCGGACCAAGAGGACTCCAACGCCACCGTATACTCAGAGGTCCGGATCCGGAAGTGACGGCGCCCTCCTCCCAGCCCCCGCTCTGGCTGGAGCCCAGAAGAGGCCTCGCTGAGGAAAGTGTGTATCAGAGGCAGGTGCTTGGAGTCAGCAGCCCTCTGCATCAAAGGCTGTAAATGGAAAGATAAGAGATCCTTAAAGGGCTGAAGGTCGTCACTTGGCAGTGACCTTCAAGTCATTTGGAAGGTCAAAACCAGACTCTGTTACCTCAGGCAAGTCACTTTCCCTCCCTATGCCTCCCTTCCTCCTGTGTAAAATTCAGATAATATTCCTTAGGTATATTAAGTGAGAAAATTGCACAATTTGTACTGTTAAGTGTATTATCAAGTGTATAACTCTTAACCTTGTTTACTCAGCAGGGATGAGGAAGATGTATATTTTTTGACTCCATGACATACTTTTTTTCTTGCTTGACATTTGAAAGAGTATATGTTATTTTTTAAAATAAAGCTATTTTCATGTGTAGCTTGCTCGTGTAGAAGCCATGTTCCAATACACCTATCCAAGAAAGGACTCATATCCAGAATGTATAAATAATACATAAATATCTCCCAAAAATCAATGAGAAGTAGGCAGTCCAAAAACTTGAGATATTCAAATGGTCAACAAACGTATAGAAAAACATTCAATTTTAGTAGCTGTCAAGGAAATTCAGATAAAAATCGTAATGCTACACAACTACAAAATTGGCTGAAATAAATAATTCCAAGAATATCTGTTGGTGAAGATATGGAGCAGTGGCGCTCTGACACACTGTTGGCAGGAGCAGGTATTGGTACAGCCACTACGAAGACTGTTGTCACTCTGCTGATATTGAACATAGGAGCCAGCAATTCTGTACCTAGGTGCATACCCAACAGAGGTGCATACAGATGTCCATCAGACCCAACAGGAATGTCCAGAGCAGCTCTAATTGTAATGGCTGAAAATGAGACCTACCCAGCTCCCTTCAACATTAAGACAGGTACATACATTGCACAATATCCACCCAACAAAAGAAGCAAATAACAACCCCACATAACATGTATGAGTCTTGCAAATATAATATTTAGTGAAAGGACCCAGATACAAAGAAAACATGCTATGTTCTGCCCTTAGAAACAAGAAAGCTAATTTTTTTTTTTTTTTTTGTCTGTTTTGAGACAGAGTCTGGCTATGCAGTTCAGGCTGGCCTTGAGCTCACTTTGTAGCCCAGGCTGGTCTTGAACTCACAACAACCCTCCTGCCTCAGCCTCTCGAGTGCTGGGATTGCAGGCATGCACCAGCATGCCTAGCTAAGAAAGCTAATCTTTGGGATTAGACGTCCAGGTACTGGTGACCGTTGTCGATTGATCATGGCTGGAGGGAGGCAGTAGAGATTTTCCAGGGGTCCCTCTAAGTATCTGCTTTTTATCTGGGTACTAACTGCTCATGTACTCTATAAAGAGACATTTTAGTAAAACACTTGTGATTTGTACCCTTTTCCATATGAATATTGCTCTTTCATAAAATTCACAGGAATACTTTTTAAATGTCATCTGTGTAAGCACAGCCATGCACTGTACAAAAGCATCTCAGTCAGTGACGGGCCACTCATACGATGGTCAGTGCCAAGGAACCTAGGGTCTACCACGCCAGATTGTGTGAGTGCACTCTGTGACATTTGCACAGTGACAAAACAGCGCCACTGCTCCATTTCTCAGAGCATGCCCCCCAGGCTGATCTCTAACCTGCGAGCCCCTCCCGGACAGGGACGGTGCTGTGTCCAGCTTGGTATTCTGAGGGCCCAGCCTTGGACACAGCACATCCAGTGTACCCAGCAAGTCTTTGAAATTACTTGAATGGAAGCCAGGTGAGACAACCCGGCCAGTCTCTGCTGAGGCTTCTGAACATGCACCTCCAGCCCATCCCGCTCTCCCAAGCCCTCAGCCTCCATGTTCTCCGAGGCCTCGCTCCCTGAACCACCCACAGACGCCACGTCTTCTGCACTTTGCAAACTGCACTCATCATGCTCCTTAGGCCTGAGTCTCCTTCAAGTTCTCCATCCAAGAATGTGAAGCTCTCCATCCGTTGCCATGGTGCCTAGCACCCATGCCTGGCTGTCTCAGTTTGAGCCACCATAACAAAAAGCCATAAACTGCGCAGCTTGAAAACAGTAGGAATGTATTTCCCACAGTCCTGGAGGGTGGGAAATTCAGATGCCAGCAGACTTGGTGTCGGATAGGGCTGACTTTCTGGTGCATGGATGGTGCCTTCTTGGGACCTGTACATGGAAGAATGGTAAAAAAGAGTTCTTTGGGGACTCCTTCATAAGGGCACTAATCTCATTTATGAGAGCTCCCCCTTCATGAGTCAGTCACCTCCCAAAGGCCTGGTCTCCACATACATCACATTAGAGGTTAGGGGTTCAAGTATGAATTCTGGAAGGGACATAGTGCTCAGGTTATAGTGCTGGGCAGGGAGAACACTGCACTTTTCATGTAATTCTGACCTCTAGACACAATTTCTGTCCTGACACAGGATCTTGTGAAATAGGTCTTGTCCTTCCCTCCTCCAATCTCTCATTTCCCATTTTAGGGTCCTCTCTGCCTGTTCTTGCAAGGGGTTACTCAACCACCTTCTGAGCTGGCACCTCTTCCTCCTTTTCCTCTGGAACTATGAGCTCCCCCTGCTCACAGTGTAAAGTTCCTCAAGGTCTAACTACAAGGTTCTCCCCACACGAGCCTTCTTCAGCTCCTTCCTGGCCCCTACCACCCTGCAAACACTTTAAAACTTTTCTTCTCAGATCCCATTCATCTCTCAGCTTTCTGTACTGGATCTAGAGACCAGGTAAAGTGTTGTAGTCAAGGCAAAAGAGATTAGCAATTCACCATTTTCCCCTCTGTAATAGCTAAAAGTTGGAAGCATCCCAAATGTCTATTAACCGGTGGATGGGTATCCATCTGGTGGAGGACCATGCAGCCGTGAAAAGGACTGAAATATTATTCTGCAACATGAATGAAGCTCAAGAATATGATGCTATGTAAAAGAAGCCAGATAGTGATGATCCCACATCGTGTGGCTCTTGTTTATACGGAATGTCCAGAATAAGTAAGTCTCTGGGAACATAAAATCACTTGGTAGCTCCTTGGGTCTGGAGGAGAAGGAAATGGGCAGTGACTTCTTAGTGGACAGAAGATCTCCTTGGGGGTTATAAAAATGTTTTGTAACAAGATAGAGGCGATAGTTGCACAACATTGCGCATGTACTGAATGCCGCCGAATTGTTTGCTTTGGAATGTTTTATTTTATGTTATGTGAATTTTATCTCAATAAAAAAATAACTTAGGTGCTGAAGTCAGATCTCCATCTAATACCTGCTTCACAGCTTCCTCTCCATCTAATACCTGCTTCACAGCTTCCTTCCTCTTTCTTCCTCGGCCTCTTCTCTTGGCTTATCCGAAGGATGGGGATAATAATTCCGCTCAGCTCTCTGGTTTGTCTTGAGGATTCAGGGCATTAACACTGCAGTCCACCTGGCACAGGGTCTGATGCACAGTAAACCCCCAGCCATGGTCAGCCTGGGCTCTGGTCAACGTGCATTCAACCAAGGGCCAGGTGCTGCCAAAGTAATAAATTTGCGAAATGACTTATAGGTTTCAGATACTGGCTCCACACTTGTGCCTGTCTCCCTAGCCACAGGGGTGAAGGGAAGACTGTGGATGCACAAGATAGCAAGCGAGAAGCACACAGCTTGCCTCATTTATCCAGAACCAGAATTCTGTTTCACTTCTCCCTTCCCCCTCAACGCGCATTCCCGAGAGTCACCAAGTTCCTCCTCTGCCCCCTCCTACTCCTCCCCAGGTCCAAGTCTTCACTCCTTTCCCACAGAGCGTAGCAGCAGCCTCCTGCCAGCCTTCTCACCCTTGTAGCCTGTCACCCACACCTCCAACCATGGAGTTTCCAAATGCACTCCACAAACCCTGCCCTTCCCCCGCTAAGCATCCAGCAGAGCGAGCTGTTCCGGGCATCTCACAGTGTCACCCTTGATACTCGTGCCCTTTCAGCCACCAGCCGCACGCGCCTCAGCCACCTCCCTGCCGCTTCCTAAAGACACATGCCACTTTATACCTCTTCCCACTCCACTGACACGGCCCCACATCACTGCAGGGTTGTCTCTTCTCCGTGCCTGAAGGTTACACCCCTCAAGTAATCTGCCCCCCTGCCCCCCCAACACCTGCACTTTCCCACGGGTTCCACTGGAGCAGAGTTTGCCAATCTTGAGGCATTTGGGGCTGGGTGACGCTGGGTGACGCTTTGGTGTGAGAGTTGTCCTTTGCATTGTGAGACCTTGAGCAATGTCCCTGGGCACTACTCACAGATGCCAGAAGTTCACACACACACACACACACACACACACACACACACTGTGACAACCAGAAATGACTTTAGGTGGTGCCAAATGCGGAAAAGCCCCACTGCAGGCCAGAGTGTCCTGCATCTGTGCTTACTCAGCAACTTGAGCAGGACACATTTTCTCTAGTTTTTCTTCTCAAGGTCACGTAAAACATTCTTACTTTACTCTTTTCTGTTTCCACGGTTAAGAGGGCTTCAGTTCCAT